TTATATTATTAAGATTTAAAGGCTTCAGGATGCAAGCAGAAATTCAGTTATACAAATATCTAAGGGTAGTGTCTCCAACATATGCTGGACCAGACAAGCCAGTGGTGCCTAGTAGGAAAATACCAAGTGTCCATTTTTAGTGCTTCAATTTTTAATTTCAATTTTTTTCTGTGAAAGTTTATATTATCAAGTATAATAATGTGTTTCATAATTCAGACTTTAGATTTTAGACAAGTGACAGTACACATTATGTATTTCCTAACATTCTTATCATTATACAAAAGCCACAAAAATTAATTTCCCTGCAATAACATGAATATCAATGTGATTAAAAACAAGCAAAGTGTCATAAAAGCAACTAAAAACAGTATGTCAAAGTTCAGGTCAGGTTTTGTCATCAAATATATTATAAAAAACTTAAGAATAATTTTGGATTTCTGAATTATTGACAAGGAATAGTGGATCTCTTCTTATAGGCAGCTAAGTTCATAAATATATTCACATATATTGGGGTACATATTCAAAGTTTTATGATGCAGTATGAAGTTTTTAAAAATAAGCATGTAGGACCAGGCTAATAAATATTTTTGTGTTTTATTTCATGAAACAATCAACTCATGTCCAAATGATCTGGTCTGCACTAATGCTGTTAGATTTAAAAAATATGTGACATTTTGGGGCAGCACCTGTGGCTCAAAAGAGTAGGGCGCCAGCCCCATATACCAGAGGTGGTGGGTTCAAACCCAGCCCTGGCCAAAAAAAAAAAAAAAAAAGTGACATTTTAATGCTTTTCAGTGAACTCAAATCTTAAAGTGGCTGGCATCCTTATCCCTTTATTCTTGCTGTAAATAGATAAAAATTATCCAGTTGGGGTAAAATCACTACCATTCAGGTACCAACTGAACAGCTCAATAGCCTACAGTCATAAAATAAAATGCCGCTGCCATTAATAGGCAAAGCTGTGAAAAAGGGGGGTTAGCATTTCTCCCATTTGAGTCTCTCTGAACAACTCACTTAGCTCAAATATTTATACCAAATATGTTAAGAGAGGCCCTTGCTCAAAGTGCCACCGAGGTAGTAGTGCTGTCCTTTTCTAACTGCCCCCACTATTCAACACCATCCAGCCATTCACCGGTTCCTCTCTATTGTTCCGTTCTTCACACTCCTCCCCAAAAAACCATCCTGTGACTATGTCAATGGTGGAAGTAACTGCTTTTAATTACTATACTCACCAAGCTCTTTTGGACCTTAGATTAATACTTACTTGCCCTGTAAAAAGTAGCTCATGAATGCCACGTTATTTTTGCCATCTCTCTCTGCACCCTCTGCTAGCTTGTTCACCATAGTAGCATTTCCAGAGGCAGTGGCCAAAAGCAGCAGACCCCCATAATCCTGTGCATGGTGCAGGCACTCCTGGGCTAGGCCAAACTGACATTTACTAATGGCAAGTTCAGCTAGTTGTTTCCACTTCTGTTCTGACTATAAGAAAACATTTCCAAGTTAAAATATCTTTGGAAATAAACATTTCAATTTCCAACATCAACTTAATCCTGCTAACTTCAACATCACTGTGTTGACGATGGAAGATACATATATAAGTTGACATTACAAAATGTATAATGAAGAAATGGAAATCATTCACGAATACAGAGTAAAAATACACATAAATTTTAATAATGCCTGAATAATTACCAACCCATTATATTTTTCTTTTGTTAATTACACAGTGAAACTCAGAATAAAACCATTTAACTGGAGTTTCAAGGTAATTATAATTATTTTAACAAGTGATTTAATACTACTTTTTTGAAAAAATACAACTTTTTATGTCCTTAAATGTTTAAAATAACTTTTTATGTCCTTAAAAATTTAAAATAACTTGTAACTCCTCAGAAATCAAATAAAATGCTGTATATTTTGATGATCTTAACACTGCTAAAATTTATTTTGCACATCTTAAGTTTATCCATAAATGCTGGATTTAAACCACAACTTAGAGGCCCCATATATAAAGACCCACAAATTTAATTTACGCAAAGATTAACAAAATACATCTTTGAAATACCAGAGAGGCAGTAACTGCATCAAAATAAGTCACAGATCTGCATCTGAGAAAGCTGTAATAAACCACAAAGAACCTACTGATTTTTCCATTAGTTATGAAAAATAATGAATTAGAACATACCTCCGCCTCCACTGCTAATTGGTATGCAATTGTTAACTCTCCAAGCTGAAGAGCGAGTTCAAAACGATGTTCAGGATCTGTGGATACTGTAAGAGCTTGCTGCTTGAACCCCTGAACAGAGTTAAAAAATATGTGTGGAGTATTTATGCATATATTGCACATATATCCAGAGGAAGTCCTCTATTTCCCTCTAAAAATAACTTTGCTAATATAGAAACCCTACTACTCAAAACACAAAAGTAACAGTTAACAGAATATTCTATAATGCGAAACAGAAAAAGTTATATTAAGTCACATCATGCTTACTGTTTTTTAAGATAATGGAAGCTGGCCAATACTAGATAAACTCAAGTAAAACAATTAGTAAAATTAGAAAGGTAAAAAGAAATGTTAAAGAGAAAGGGGTTTTAGAAAGTTGAATAAGAATCATTTCAGAAGAAGAAAACAAGGTACAGAGGTGCAAACTTAGCTGTTGGTAACCTAGTCCTCCTCTGTGCTTCAGAGGTCATCAAGGGAGTCCCTCACTTTACAGATGAGGTTACTGGCAGTAAATGGGCAGAGAAAAGGAAATCAAATCTAAAACTTTTCAGCTTTCTATTATCTGTAGTTCATTTGGTAAAGATTCTGTATTCAGGTCCAGACACTGGTCAGCTGTCATTACCTACACCTTTATTGGTGGTCTCAAGACCAGTTTATTCTTTAGCAAGTATCCTAAGGAAGTCTAAAATTTTCTTCCTATACTCCATTAAGCTATCAAGAAAAAGCTTTTAAACCAAGGATACCAAGACTAAAATTAGCCTCTCTCACAAGACAAACTACTAATGGAGTCTGCCCTATGGGCAAATTTTTCATCTCTAATGGGGTGTGGTTTATTACATAAAAACTTCAGGGCTAGTTTACCTCTTCATCACACTGAGGGAGAAAGCTCATTAACAAGATGGTCAGTATGGAGAAGACAGGCAGCTTTCAAGAGTTCTGTTCAGCTACATCTTCAAGATGGCTTTTTGTTGTTGTGTTTTATGGATTAACTTCCCAGATTCTAAATAATCTGAGTTACTCCTTTGTATTCACTAATATCGATAGAGACACTAGCACTCTTTAACATAAAACCCAAGAGTGGAAGATGGAAGTTTTTTAGAATAGATGGATATAGGCAAGGGCAAAGCAGCTGAAATGAGATGGGTTAAAAATATAAACACTTTTGATTTCCCCTAAGTCCTCACTAAAATCACACTAAAGGGATTTGTTTTTAAAGGCAGGAACTCCCAAAGGACCTTCAAAGAGGGAGAGGAAACATTAGTAACAAAATTTTAGAAGCTGGAGGCTCAACACCTGTAGTTCAGTGGCTAGGGCGCCAGCGACGTACACCAGAGCTGGCAGGTTCAAATACAACCCAGGCCTGCCAAACAACAATGACAACTACAACCAAAAAATAGCCGGGTATTGTGGCGGGCCCGCAGTCCCAGCTACTTGGGAGGCTAAGGCAAGAGAATCGCTTAAGCCAGGAACTGGAGGTTGCTGTAAGATGCCAGGGCACTCTATCGAGGGCAACTGAGTGAGACTCTGTCTCAAAAAAAAAAAAAAAATTAGAAGCTGGAAATCTGATGGAGTAGAAACACTGTTAAAACTTACTAGAGAAAACTAATCCTACAGCAGGAGTGAGGACCCCACAGAGACAACTGAATGGACACCTCAGAAGACCCAGAGGTATTTTATGAGGGGTAATACTAAAACAAACAAAAAAATTGCCCTATAAGCAGTTAAATAAAATAATATCTTCTTTTCTTTCTCACATCCTTTGACACACAGAAGACAGGTTTATACTTTGGAGAGGTTAGACAAGAGGGTATCCAGCCTAGAGATACTCAGTACAGCTAGAGGGGGGATGTTCAGTATCAAAAGGAAAATTAAAGATTTAGAAAATGGATACACAGACTAAGTGAAATACCCCAAGCTGTCTTCTACTCATTCTCCAGAATGATGGTGATTGGGGAGCTTCTCTGTGAAATCTAAACACTTCAAGAGGAAAGACCTAAAAATACCAAAATGTCAACTCTGTGAAGGCTACGTCTGCTAGAACAGTACCTGGTACAGTAAGTGATCACTAAATACATTTAATAAACAAAAAGTAATTACATGTACTACAGCCAGTGAAGATACCCATGTTGAGGCTCTCTAATCTATTGGCTTAACTACATCACATATTGTGAAGACTGTGCCCCACACCAAAATTCAGATCATTTAAATAAGATCCCTCCACTCTTAAATAAGGACCCAAAGCTCATCAGATACCTAAGAAAAATCTCTAACAGGAAAGACAAAGATCAAAACATATTAATAAAAGCAACTTGAAAAAGCATACCATGTAAGAGGAAAAGAAAACTTAAAACTAAAAACAACAAAAAATCATTCATTTTCTCAGAGAGGTAAGAGACACTTTTCTATGTACAAGAAGGTCTAAAAAGTCAAAGAGTAACAAAATAAGAAAACCAGTGCTGCAAGTTTGACATTTGAATAATGGTTCCAGAAAAAGAATATAGAAATCAAAGGAAGGAAATCATCAAAGAATGGTGCATGAGAATCTCTCAGAAACAAAGGACATTGAGTTTCTCATTTAAAAAGCTCATCTAATGCGTACAAAATGAATTAAAACTGACCTCTATACCAGGGCCCACCATCATTGTAACATTTCAGAACAATAGGGACAAGATCCAAAAACTTTCCACAGAGAAAAGACAGGTCATGTACCAAGAATTGGGAATAAAAATGGCAGTGAGGTAAAGAAAGCTAAATCTTCTTTCTTCTATGGAGTGAAAAGTCACAAGAAATGTCTAAAGTTGGGCAGTGCCAGTGCTCAGTGAGTTGGGTGCTGGCCCTATATACTGAGGGTGGCGGGTTCAAACCTGGCCCCGGCCAAACTGCAACAAAAAAATAGCTGGGCGTTGTGGGTGCCTGTGGTCCCAGCTACTCGGGAGGCTGAGGCAAGAGAATCGTCTAAGCCCAAGAGCAGGAGATTGCTGTGAGCTGTGATGCCATGGCACTCTACCTAGGGTGAGAAAGTGACACTCTGTCTCTAAAAAAAAAAATGTCTAAAGCTGAGAAATAAAGAAACAGCTATGTTGCATGTTATTAATTAGAGATGTGGAAATAAATACAAAGAGTTATTTCAGATAAAATAATGAAAAGTACCTCCAGGGAGTAGGAAGCAGAGAGGGGAAAGAAGGGCTGCTTTTTCCATAAGTCTTGCAGAACTCCCTGTATGCTTTGTGCATATATAACTTAGGTTAAAAAACACTCTATTAAGAAAAAGATATGTTGCTAATGATGAATTTTATGTGTTATTTTATCACAATTTGAAAAAAAGGCAGGTGGAATAGAGGAAAAAACTTAGGATAGCAATGGAAACATTAAGACATTGGAAAAGAGGTGTACAGAAGGTGCGAACTGGTCAATCACTTCCAACATTTAAAGGGGGTACTAACAACACCGAGGAAGGGAAAGGAAGAGTATGAGGAGTGGGCACATATGCTGTAAAAAGTGCCTTAAATTTACAGGGGATATTCCAATGCCGTAGGAAATCAATAGTGAATAAGAAATTAAGTTTTGCAAATCCCTACTAACATTCTTACATATTGCTAGTTTTAAAAACACAAAGAAACAAACAAAAAAAATCCTCTCACTTGCTTTTCCAAAAAGTGTGCAACTCTGGTCCTCTGTTCTTTTGGAATGGTAGGAAGGACCTTATCAGCCATACTAAAGTCCCTCCGCATAACAGCCGTCTGGTATTCCAGGACTGAAACCAGCAAGGAGTAGCTAACAATGTTCAATTCTTTATCCCCAAGATAAAGCCTGTTGTCTTTCGGAATATAGCCCAGGAGATACATTGTCCTATAATAGAAACAAAAACTAAATTAGAACTTCAAATCTAAAGTTAAACATACACATACACACCACACTCCCAACTGCAATCTTCGTTAACAACAGGCAACCTACTAAAACTGTAACATTCAAAATAATCTGCTTATTGTTGCTACAAGCCAGCAACAGCTTCTGTTTAAGAAGTACACTTTGAAATTTAGGTCAAAAGCAAAATGATACTCAGCTACCTGTCCAAGTGGGCAATGGTGACTATTTCTCCTCCAACATAATAATTTAATCTGTTCACAGAACTCGTGTAAATGAAGCAATCGCCTACCCACAGCCCTGTTTTCACAATCTCCTGAATCTCACCGAGAACCTGCAGAAAGAAAAGACTATTATTACCTTATCCACCATTAGAAATCTGTCAGTAACAAAAAGCTAAAGATACTTTTAGGGTGATAAGGTTGAATAAGGAATGCAAAGTAAAATCTTATTTTAAGCAAGAAAATCTTAGCTGGGCACTGTAGCTCAGTGGTTACAGTGCTGGCTTTCAACCTCACCTGGGCTTGATTAAGAAAAAAAAAAGATTGGAATTTCTTCTTTTTTCACGTAAGAACAGATTCCTAGATTCATATTTATAATGTAAAATCCCATTGTTGGGTCAAAACTATGATACAAAAGGGTCTTATCTAAACCCCCTAATTCACATGAAACTAGAAGTTTTTTTTTTTTGCAATTTTTGGCCAGAGCTGGGTTTGAACCCGCCACCTCCGGCATATGGGGCCAGAGCCCTACTCCTTTGAGCTACAGGCGCTGCCCTAGAATATTAAGTATTTTATAACCTTCCAGGACATCTCCACAATGGATGATTTATCTTTACCATTTGGCAGCTCATTTAAATCACTCTGGTTCAATAGTCTTCTGACCAAACAACTACAAATTTCCTACTCAAAGATAGCAAAGTAAGTCTAAAGATTTCCTAAAACTGAAACATAAATTTCTTTTAAACATATTTACTTTCATATTATGATCTCTGAGCCAAGATTTTAATTTTCACATTTCATCAGAACCCCTTAAATGCTTAGCCTCCCCAAATCTAATTTATAATGAAATGTTAAAATCAGTGAAGTCTATAAGAATATAAATCATTTTAAAACAAAGCTAACATTGTGCTGATGCAATTACCTCAAAGGCATCTTCAATGCCATCTTCAGTAACTCCCTCATGTGTTTCCTGTGCAGCCAAGACTTTTTCCGACAGATACTTAAGGATAAAAAATGATTCCTCGGTGGCAATACAGACTAACTCTCCGGAGTCAGACCAGAAAATCTGCCACAGGACAAAAAAACACAGACAATTGACTTGGATTTCTGATTGGTTGACAAACTGCATACACTTTATTTCTTAAAAGATTTATCTTATTATATCAAGATATTAAGTGTGCACTTAACAATTTTATGTAGCATATTTATACATATATTTGAGGGCTGTTCTATTTAGCCCTGTAACAAAGAGACCAAAGGAAGACAGGAGGGAGAGCTGTCAGTACACACTGGATGTGTTGTAATTTAGAGGAACAGCAGCCTATTCCTTCCTGCTCTAGAAAAGTTTTTCTCACCCTTTATTTTCATTATTACCCATTCCCTAGGAGCCTTTTTAGACATTTTTTTCCCTAACCACTTCCCCCCAAGAAATTTTAATACCACAAGTATACTGGATATCTGTTTATAATATATGATACACACACATACACATCTCTATGTTTTATACATAAAAAGAGAAAGTTTTTTTAACCCCTTCTACCAACCAGTTTTGGCCCTTTTGGAGGCACTATGGCCCCCATTGAGAATACTACCTCAAGAACTAGGCCCCAGGGAAGCTGGTTTGTTTTCAAACATAATTTCCTGACAGTGAAAGCCATCAAAGCAGCAGGAAGCTCTAAAGGTAGAACACTGTGTTACTGGAGATGGTCACCTGAAATTTCAGCAGCCATCATGAAGTAAAGTATAAAAAGGTTTTCTAAACTATGTGGGAGCTTCTGTGGCCTCTCTAAGCCAAGAGTTCCCTGACTTCTTTTCTTCAAAATATGCTTTTTAAAAGTATATTTAAAATGTAACTATCAGTTGGACTTTGAACAGATTTTTATACTTCTGAAAATATCCAATATCTATCGCCTCATTCAAATAACACAATTCTCCTTTTTTTTTGAGACAGAGTCTCAAGCTGTTACCTTGGGTAGAGTGCCATGGGATCATAGCTCACAGCAACCTCCAACTCTTGGGCTCAAGCAATCTTCTTGCCTCAGTTTTTCTATTTTTAGTAGAGACAGGGTCTCACTCTTGCTTAGGCTTGTCTCGAACCTAATGATGAGCTCACACAATCCACCCGCCTTGGCCTCCCAGAGTGCTGGGATGACAGGCATGAGCCACCACACCTGCACACAATTCTGAATTACTGAGCAATTCTGAGGTAAATGGCATTGTGTCTGATACTCTGAAACAGGGACAGCAGAGTGCGAGGACACTTCTTGGCCTTAGGGACTCAGAACTCACCAGAAAGATAAACACTACAAAAACAATAGGGGGAAAACTCACATGTTTGGGCTGGATTTCAATTCTGCGTATGAGTTCTGTATTGTCCCAGTCATAGAAGGCTAAGCCATTTACAGATCTGACTCCCAATAAGAAGCCTCCATAGATACCTGAAAAGAACATAGAATTTTTGCTTAGATGTTTCTGAACTATTACAAAGCTTCAAAAATGTATCCTATGGAGGTAACACTCACTTTCAGCTCCAAAATCTGGTTTAAATGATTTTTTTTCCTTAAAATTCTTAAATATCTTTACAACGCTGTTGCTCTCTCTGATGGCATATCTGGGAGAAAACAGGCAAAATAACATATAGTAAATTATAATTCTACCAAATGTTAGAAATATCTTCAAATTTTTTGAGTAATTATGCAAAAATATAAAATGAATATTTGAAGATTAAGTGATATATTTATTTCCTAAAATACATTGGTGAATTCCTTACAGTTGGACAAATAACATATGGGCTTCATATTTTATATTACACAAATCACTAGGGCTTACAAACCAGTTTTGAAACTGGAAATGGTCCAAATGTCCATCAACAGGTGAATGATTAAACAAATTATGGTATACTCATAGAATGGAATATTAATCTACAAATAAAGGAACCAATTACTGATCTGGACAAAAACATGGATGAATCTTGAAAACATTATGCTGAGAAAAAGACGCCAAATATAAGAGTACATACCACATGGTTTCAATTACATAAACCTCTAAAGAAGGAAGACGACAAATCTATCTATACAGTAACAAAAGGCAGATGAGTGCTTGCTTGTGACTGAAGAATAGGTGGCTGAAGAGTGTGGACTGACTGTTAAGGGAAACAAGGGGCTGTCGGGGGACGAGAGAAATATTTCGCCATTTGACTGTGTTCACAGTTATTGAATATACACATTTATTTGTCCAAATTCACTGAAACATACATTAGCCCCCTCCCTTTGTCTGTGGAACATATGTTTCAAGACTCTCAGTGGAGGCCTGAAAGCTGAGATAGCACCGAATCCTATATACAACATGTTATTTTCCTATACGGTAACAGGTGGGTAGCATATATGAGTATCCTAGACAAGGGGAGGATTCAAATCCCAAGTGAGATGGCAGGAGATTTCATTATGCTACTCAGAATGGCGTGTAATTTAAAACTTATTAATTGTTTATTTCTGGAATATTCCAATTAATATTTTGGGATTGAGAGTGACTGCAGGTAACTAAAACTGCAGAAAAAGTAGCAGCAGATAAAGGGGGACTACTACACACTTAAAACAGTACATTTTGTTCTATATAAATCATACCTCAGTAAAAGTGATTTAAAAAAATAAACCCTGTGACAAATGGTTGACTTGTCAGCCTTGTTCTGTGACACCTTACACAACTGCTTACATGCAGGCGTCTGTCTTGAAAAGAGGGGCTGTGGCTATCACTGGATATTTGAGATTGTGTGAGGAAGTGATGTGGTAAGTGCTTTGCTCAGGACAGGAGAAATGCTGAGCAGGGGCATGGCTGGATAAAGGTGAGAAGAAACCATCAAAGCAGAGAGATAAGCTGAGACAAGTGAGTCAGTTCATGAACCACAGGTACTTAAGACGTTAACAAACAACTGTGCACATGAGAGCACTTAGGAAATTTACAAAAAGATCAAAATAATTCCTTGCCTCTCAGTAAATTTTATTGTTATAAAGTTTTCAAAAATACATTTATTATGCAATGCTGAGGCTCAAGTTACCCCACTGTTGGGGGCAGGAGGCAATTCAAAGTGTGAGGAAAATAAAATGAAGAAAACTGTGATGATGTAATTCAATTGTGCGGTCTGAAAACACCAAAGCCATAATATTTATTACAAGCACCAAACAGGAATTAAAAAAGAACCAGAGTCAAGGACTACCTGGTAATACAATCCAGTGTTAACTTGTTTTTCCTGCCTTTAGTAAGATCTTTTTATCAACATTCTAAGTTCAAACAGAAATTCCTTTTGTTGAAAATGGGAGGTAGGTTAATATCATGGAAAGTAAGTTTTAAAAAAGCAATAAACTTCTCAAAAAAGGCATCAAACCACAACACATCCCCCAATTAGCTCATAGAGGGGTAGCAGCACCTTAGGATACCCAGATAAGGAAGGGTCTCCCTAAGGCCTGCCAGAGTATACTTGAGGGCCTACTCGGCCTTACGCCCATTCATAAGCACCAGATCCTGCCATGAGTTCCATCAAGGAAATGAGTGCTGAGTCCCCAGTTAACTGTGATTACTTCATCAGTCTCAGTGAGCCTGTTCAATACCGGACATAGAAAGGGCAAAGACAGCTCATGCTAAAAAGTTGTCTCTGACTCTAATCTTCCAACAGACAGCTCTGTTGAGAACTATTTTTGTACACAGAGAAACAAAACCTCAAGTATCTCCTTTATAGAACAGTATACAACACCCATCTGCAATCAGGGCAAGCTGAATATCGGACAGTCAAGACTTACTCTGAAGAGTCGTGGGCCCATGCAAACTCCTGAGCAGACCCAAAGCTCTTGTTTCTCAATGCCATTGCTGTGTAGATTATATACTCCCCATCACCACACACCACAACAAACCTAGAAATTACAAAAGCCAAGAAGGAAAACAGAGGACCAAAGACATGTTAAGAAACAGTAATTCATCTTTATGGTAAAATAACTCTAATAAATGCCATTTTTAGTCACTACATATTATAATCTTTTATCTTTTAAAATATATATTTCTTTGAATACAGAGCTACACAAATATTCTAGCCAACAAATCCAAAAGCAAATTATAAATATGGCATTATTGTCGAAAATGTTACAGCAATGGCCTTCTGTTCTAGACAAAGGAGATTGGGGACAGGAAGGTGCAAATGGCTGGAGAAGCCTAAGAGGAAGGCTCCAGTTATTCAGCTAATATTTGTTGAACACCAAGGTGCTTTTAGTACCACTTTGCTCATAACATTTACACCATAAGAAGGCATTATCTTACTGCAAGACTAACTTCAAATGAATAAAAATATCTTAATCTACTTTTTAATGACTATTAAATTTAATAAACATATTTTAACATTTAATTATTGAGTAAAAATAAAATGTTGCACAAATAAAATTTTCCCAGTAGACATAACTCTCTTTAAAGTTATCTTTTATAACACT